TGTGTGTGTGTGTGTGTGTGTGTGTGTGTGTGTGTGTGTAGGGGGCAGCACCTGGCCTCCATCCTACCTTTGAACCTTCAGTTGCCTTAGTGAGAGGGGTGGGGAGGTGGGGGGGGGAGGAACCTGTGCTTTAAGGCCCAGGGATCAGGCAGAGGGACCATTAGAGCTCTGGATTTGGTTCTGAGGTGAGGAAGAGAATTCATCAACAGGTGGGGTAGGTGGAAGGCTTGGAGGAGAGTTCCCCAAAGAGTCCAGATTGGGAGTTAGAGCCAGGCTTCCATCTTCCTTCCGTATAAACTGCCACCTTGGGCAAGTTATACCACCCCTGAACCCTCAGGTTCCCCATCTGTGAAATGAGGATGACAGTGCCTTACCTCAGGGGTCTGTGTAGCTCTCTGAGCATGCAGGTAAAGTATTTTGTGAGCTGAAAATCTACCAGGATTTGTATTCAGTGAGGGGACAGAAAGGAGATGAATGCCTGCTGGGGAAGAACAAGATTTAACAGACACTTTGAAGACTGGTTAAGATATGGACTGTCTCTCAAAAAATGAAAATATGGACCATTCAGGAAATTTAGCCTACAGTTGTAGTTTATGGGTGGAGATTTTGACTTCCTGCCTGCTGGGACCTTCCTCTATACAGCACTGCTATCTAGGTTCTGTCGGGGGATTTGGTGGTGGTGGGTTGTAGGTGCTCACCTGCAGGAAAAAGGAGAGAAAATTCTCCTGATTTGGGGTTGCTGAGTGGCTGGAGGTAGGGGAGACACACCCCGATAAGCCAGTCTTGCTGTTGACCTAGAGGTGGGAGTAGGGTAAAGATGGTAACTGCAGAGCCATGGTATGAAATCACATTTTACAGAGCCCCAGGGGCTTCACTTCCTCTGGTGTAGCCGAGGGAGGCTGAGTTCTGGAAAAGACAAGGCGAGAGAAAATGCAGCAGCTCCCACTGAAGCAAACCAAGACAAGACTCAGCCTAGATCAGGGGTCTGGGGGAGGACACACCTGCCAAAAGGGAACCTGGCTGGAAGCCCTTGCAGCCCAGGTGAGCTGGCGCCCAGCTCTCTTGTCATGGCCAGACACTCCCCTAAAGTTCAGCAGCCACTTTTGTCTCAGGAGCCAGACTGAGCAGGAGCAGGGATTTACAGGAGCATGAGAGGCAGGTATGATTTTGGTTTTCTCCAAAGTCATGTTGGATACCTTGGTGATTATTGCAGGCTGCAGGCAGCATGCTTCAGGATCCACTTAAGTCAACAGATAACTTCATGTAATATTAGCTGATATTTTTAAAGGTCTACCTGATGCTTTTTTCCCAGTGTGTTATTTTCAAGTTCTTAAGTGCTTCACTTGCAAGAGATCTAGAAATCATCTTTTTAACCCCTTCTAGCCCCCACATGGATGGAGGTGTGCCCGTGTGTTTGTGTACGTGTGACCGTGTGGGTGGGTGGCAGAAGCCTTGGTGTGGGCTGTGTGCCTCTGTGTATTTGCATATAACCCAAGGTCATCCACTGTAATCGGCACAGAGCTGAGACTCAAGTCTGGTTTCTGGTATTTTTTCCAGAAAGCCGGTAGTCCTCTTTCTGAAAGAGGCTATTGTAAAAAGCCAGATCTCACCATGTAGAAAATGATTCCTGGGTAAGGAGGCCTAGGGAAGGGGCTGCCAAGCCAAGAGTTTGGTTTGGGCATCTTGAGCTTACCGTTCGCCTATCTCAAAGACTGCCTTGAGTTTGGGAGAGGGAGGGAGAGAGTCAACTTTCATTTCCGGAAGAATAATGAGCATCTGGTGAAAGTCGGAGGTAGGGAATGTGATCTTGGTGCTTAATTTCTCTTCTCAAAATCATTCCTTTTCCCCTGAAAGCAGCCTTTTGGATTTACTCCTTTTGAACATCGCTGCACTGCACTAATTGCTGGAAGTGGTAGTCTCTGGGCTGCTGGACAGAGACTGCTTCAGCAGGAGGCCGTCAGTGCAGGCTCGGCTTCACCTGCTTCTCCCCCGCTGGCCCCCTTGCTGCCAATCTGTCCCCCATGGCTCTGATTCAGAAATGTGTCTCTGACAGGCCTGGGGGTCAGGCGAGAGCCTCCTGTTTGCTGCTGCTTCCAGCCCATGTCAGAGGCATCTTTTCTATCTCCCAGCTCGAGCATTCCGAGCTTCTTCAGGGCTCACATGCCTTCCTGAGAAATGGTGTGAGGAGGAGACCTCTTGTTTCCATTAGCCTTAAGTAGGACAGAATACCTTCCTGCTTTGGGCTTAGGGTCCTTGGGGACTGGAGTGGGCAGAAGAAGCTGCCTATTCTTCCCTTCCCTTTCTAGCCTCTGTTGGTCCCGGGAAGGTTGGTCACTGCAGGTTCCTACAATTCTTGTCAAAGGGAAGCTTCCCTTGTGCATTCCGAATGCATTTTCTTATGATGCTGCCTTGCCTCCTTTCCCCAGGATGCTGGCACTTTAGAGAGCTGGGCACTCGGGAGGATTTTTGCTTGTGTCTTTGTGGCTTATCCATGTTGGCATGGGCTCCAGTTTTCTCATTTGGATAAGGAAAAATATGATAGCTTAGACCCCATAGGGTTGGTGTTCTATTGGGCTAGATGTCTTTCCAGGCACTTTGACTATATTGTCTTAACTCTCTCTCTCTCTCTCTCTCTCTCTCTCTCTCTCTCTCTCTCACACACACACACACACATTTGAGCCAGGGTCTCACTATATAGTTCAGACTGGTCTTCAACTCATTATGTAACCCAGGTGATCAAACTCACGGTGATCCTCCTACCTTAGCCTCCCAAGTGCTGGGGTGGTAGGCTTGTACCAGTATCACTGGTTAACGTCTATACAATTAATTTCTTATTAATGTCCCTGTTTCCAGATGAGAAAACTGAGGCACAGGCTTAGTAATGTGTTCAAGGTCACTCAGTTAGAAAGTGAGAGAGTTAGAATTTGAACTTGGATAATTCAAGCATCTGTGCTTTGAATTATGCTACTTGCTCTGAGAAGATTGCAGTACTGATATGAGGGGGGGGGTCTCAATACATGGTAGCTTTGATCGACTTCATTACCAAGTGAGAGTAGTTTCTGAACATGACTGTACAGAGTCTGTGGGCTTTGACAGGGAAAACCTGATGCTTAAAATGTTAGCTTTTGCAATTTTACTAGGCTAATTTTATTCCATCATTGTAAGTGTTAAAGTAGAGTTGGATACTCCTTCTTTGAACTTGTATAAAGATGGGAAAGGGAGGGGGACTTTAATGCCAAGCAAGAGGGTGGGAAGCACTCTGGCTATCCATTCCCCTGCTCTTCCTGACCAGTTAGTTCATCTCTATATCCACAGGTCTGCCCTGGCCCCTCTGCCACGGGCATCAGGGGAGTAGAGATGCATTCCATTTCCACCACATGCTGTAGGGGGTTGTTACATCAGGGTGTGGAACTGAGGATGGTGTTCCTGAGCCTTCTGAAGTGGTTTCGGAATCCAGTCCCCCCCCCCCCCGCCCATCCAGGAGAAGGGCGGAGAAGCTGGAGCAGCCAGCTCTGATTTGCCCATAGGATGGATGCTTCCAGCTCCGGAGGAAGTTGCCATGGCAACACCAGCCGGCTACCGGTTCCTTTGCTAGCTGTTTGGGCCACATCTCTGGGCTGGAAAGGTCTACGCAGCACCACCCTCTTCCGCTCAGACCAAATCTGGTGTGTGTGTGTTTTGGGAGGGGCATGGTGGATGGGCCCCAGAAACTAGTATCTCAGCTACTTCCCTCTCATTTTTGGATGGAGGGGAAATGGAGGTTGTGTGAGATACTTCTGGGTTGTGAAGTGGAGATACTCATATCCTGCCAGATCCTGACGGTGGTCATGGCAGTGTTGGTGGCAGTGGTGGCTGGGGTGGGGTGGGGGATTCAGGGTTCCAATTCCCACCCTCATCCCCAGCCTCCTGGAATGACCACACCAGAATCTGCCCTCCTCCTGATTTATACTATTTGGCAAAATTTCCTTTCCTAGATCAAGTGCAAACTTTTGTCCTTGAAATTTGACCTGAGGTTTTTCTGGGAAACAAAACGTCCCGCTGCCTCTCCATTTCCTGTGGAAATGTTGGGAATTAGGGAGTCCTTCAGCTGGAGGGGGCTTGGCTGAGTGCATGAGGGAAAGCTTAACATAGCCACCTCATCAGTGCCACCTCAAGGTTTGGCAGGCTGCTTTCTGACCCCCTTCTTCTCTGTCCCCCTCCCCAGTCAGTTTACCTCCTAGCACT